GGGTGTTTGTCATCTGCTGGTGGACTAACCGGAGAGAATTACCCTCTCCGGCCCAATAGCCGTAGCGCCACCGTCCTGACGTCAGGACAGTGTTTCAAATCTGGATCAGTTTTTATCAGATCCGTTGCAGCCCCTTTTTTAGAGATTTGGGTATGGAGGAAAATAGAGAGGGTTGTGTTTTCTGACACTTGGTGAGTTCCCTGGAACACCGGGGACACATATTCATGTAGAAAAGACGTACACAAGTGCATTTTGCATGATAGGTCCCCTTTAAATGCACACAAGACTAATCACACGAACAAGACACAGGGGGGGGAGGGGGGAGAAACACAGGGAGGGGGAGGGGGGAGAAACACAGGGGCACCAGGTGAACACAATCAGGTAAGCAAGCAGGAGGGAACACAGAGACAGGAAGCAGCAGACAAGACAGGGGGTTGAACACTTTTCAAAATAAAACAGGAAACCAAAGACAGATCTTGACGGGACAAAATAAAACAGGGAAAACTAATACGGATCATAACACTCTGAGTCTGGTGGTTTTAGACCTAATGCTGCAGTACCGCCTGATGGGGTCTTTATAATCCTGATGGGGGTCTTTGATAATCCTGTTTAATTTGATGATGTGGTTTATATGTTTTGTTCCAGTGCTGCGCCGCTCTCTCTCTGAGGGCTCCCTGCTGCTGGAGCCTCGATCGCCCCGCTTCCTGTCCGACTCCACCATCCACCAGCTGACCCGCCCCTCCCCAGGTCCCGCCCCCCCAGGCCCCGCCCCCCGCCGCCCCTCCATCAACACCCTGAGGAAACAGCTCACCAGAGAGGGGGGGTCTCTGAACCAGATGCTGCTGCTGCTCAACGGCACCAAGGTAAAGACCAGTAGGGACCATCAGAGACAAGCAGAGATCATTACAGACCAGCAGAGACTAGTACAGACCAGCAGAGACAAGCAGAGATCATTACAGACCAGCAGAGACCAGTACAGACCAGTCCAGACCAGCAGAGACCAGTACAGACCAGCAGAGACCAGTACAGACCAGTACAGACCAGCAGAGACCAGCAGAGATCATTACAGACCATCAGAGACAAGCAGAGATCATTACAGACCATCAGAGACAAGCAGAGATCATAACAGACCATCAGAGACAAGCAGAGATCATTACAGACCAGCAGAGACAAGCAGAGATCATAACAGACCATCAGAGACAAGCAGAGATCATTACAGACCAGCAGAGACTAGTACAGACCAGCAGAGACTAGTACAGACCAGCAGAGACAAGCAGAGATCATTACAGACCAGCAGAGACCAGTACAGACCAGTACAGACCAGCAGAGACCAGTACAGACCAGCAGAGACCAGTACAGACCAGTACAGACCAGCAGAGACTAGTACAGACCAGTACAGACCAGTAAAGACCAGCAAAGACCAGCAGAGAAAGCAGAGATCATTACAGACCAGCAGAGACTAGTACAGACCAGCAGAGACAAGCAGAGATCATAACAGACAAGCAGAGACCAGTACAGACCAGTACAGACCAGTACAGACCAGTACAGACCAGCAGAGACCAGTACAGACCAGCAGAGACCAGTACAGACAGTACAGTGCTCTCTGATCTCTGCTCTCTGATCTCTGATCTCTGATCTCTGCTCTCTGATCTCTGCTCTCTGATCTCTGATCTCTGCTCTCTGCTCTCTGCTCTCTGCTCTCTGCTCTCTAGTCTCTGCTCTCTGCTCTCTAGTCTCTGCTCTCTGCTCTCTAGTCTCTGCTCTCTAGTCTCTAGTCTCTGCTCTCTAGTCTCTGCTCTCTAGTCTCTGCTCTCTGCTCTCTAGTCTCTAGTCTCTGCTCTCTAGTCTCTGCTCTCTAGTCTCTGCTCTCTGCTCTCTGCTCTCTGCTCTCTGATCTCTGCTCTCTGATCTCTGATCTCTGCTCTCTGATCTCTGCTCTCTGATCTCTGCTCTCTGATCTCTGATCTCTGCTCTCTGATCTCTGATCTCTGCTCTCTGATCTCTGCTCTCTGCTCTCTGCTCTCTGATCTCTGATCTCTGATCTCTGCTTCGACACCACGGAGGAGCCGCGTCACAGTTATCAACATGGAAGTCGAGCAGAAAGAGAAACACAGCGCACCGAAGAATACAAATCAAACGTTTGGCAACACTTCACAAATCGCAAGCAAATTGTAAATGATGCTGTGGCGCTTTAAAGTACAAGGAACTTAGCGACGCACATAAAGAGGCGACATGGGGTCTGCGGCTGAAAAGAGAAACCTGAAAGTAAGACGTTCAATCACTCAGTGAGGTGTTCTGTGAGAGTGGTGTTTAGTTTACAGCAGCCTGTGACCGCCAATCATAGTTTCAATGTCTTACTGTAAGCAGTTATACCTGTTTGTTCCCATAGAAACCACTGGTTCCTGCTCTCTGGTGAGTTAGCCTATCACTGAGTGTGAAGCACATCAGGCTGCAGCTGGATGGGCATTGCTCTCTATGGTAGTTGTTATTTGCACATTGTTAATCCTGGGCATCCTTAAATTGTTTAATTGTGAGGTGTTGTCAAATTGAACTGTACTCTGGAGACAGAGAACAGTTCTACACTTGTGGAAGGCCAGTTTGTGGAAGGCCAGTTTGTGGAAGGCCAGTTTGTGGAAGGCCAGTTTGTGAAAGGCCAGTTTGTGGAAGGCCAGTTTGTGGAAGGCCAGTTTGTGAAAGGCCTGTTTGTGAAAGGCCAGTTTGTGAAAGGCCAGTTTGTAAAAGGCCAGTTTGTGGAAGGCCATTTTGTGGAAGGCCATTTTGTGAAAGGCCAGTTTGTAAAAGGCCATTTTGTGGAAGGCCATTTGTGAAAGGCCATTTTGTGAAAGGCCATTTTGTGAAAGGCCAGTTTGTGAAAGGCCAGTTTGTGGAAGGCCAGTTTGTGGAAGGCCAGTTTGTGAAAGGCCAGTTTGTGAAAGGCCAGTTTGTGGAAGGCCAGTTTGTGGAAGGCCAGTTTGTGGAAGGCCATTTTGTGAAAGGCCAGTTTGTGGAAGGCCAGTTTGTGGAAGGCCTGTTTGTGAAAGGCCAGTTTGTGAAAGGCCAGTTTGTAAAAGGCCAGTTTGTGGAAGGCCTGTTTGTGGAAGGCCAGTTTGTGGAAGGCCAGTTTGTGAAAGGCCTGTTTGTGGAAGGCCATTTTGTGGAAGGCCTGTTTGTGGAAGGCCAGTTTGTGAAAGGCCAGTTTGTGGAAGGCCAGTTTGTGGAAGGCCAGTTTGTGAAAGGCCTGTTTGTGAAAGGCCAGTTTGTGAAAGGCCAGTTTGTGAAAGGCCAGTTTGTGGAAGGCCTGTTTGTGGAAGGCCAGTTTGTGAAAGGCCAGTTTGTGAAAGGCCAGTTTGTGGAAGGCCAGTTTGTGGAAGGCCAGTTTGTGGAAGGCCAGTTTGTGAAAGGCCATTTTGTGGAAGGCCAGTTTGTGGAAGGCCAGTTTGTGGAAGGCCATTTTGTGAAAGGCCAGTTTGTGAAAGGCCAGTTTGTGGAAGGCCAGTTTGTGGAAGGCCCGTTTGTGGAAGGCCAGTTTGTGGAAGGCCAGTTTGTGGAAGGCCATTTTGTGAAAGGCCAGTTTGTGGAAGGCCAGTTTGTGGAAGGCCTGTTTGTGAAAGGCCAGTTTGTGAAAGGCCAGTTTGTGAAAGGCCAGTTTGTAAAAGGCCAGTTTGTGGAAGGCCTGTTTGTGGAAGGCCATTTTGTGAAAGGCCAGTTTGTGAAAGGCCAGTTTGTGGAAGGCCAGTTTGTGGAAGGCCAGTTTGTGGAAGGCCAGTTTGTGAAAGGCCATTTTGTGGAAGGCCAGTTTGTGGAAGGCCAGTTTGTGGAAGGCCATTTTGTGAAAGGCCAGTTTGTGAAAGGCCAGTTTGTGGAAGGCCAGTTTGTGGAAGGCCAGTTTGTGGAAGGCCAGTTTGTGGAAGGCCATTTTGTGAAAGGCCAGTTTGTGAAAGTCCAGTTTGTGGAAGGCCAGTTTGTGGAAGGCCAGTTTGTGAAAGGCCAGTTTGTGGAAGGCCAGTTTGTGGAAGGCCAGTTTGTGGAAGGCCAGTTTGTGGAAGGCCAGTTTGTGGAAGGCCAGTTTGTGGAAGGCCATTTTGTGAAAGGCCAGTTTGTGGAAGGCCTGTTTGTGAAAGGCCAGTTTGTGAAAGGCCAGTTTGTGAAAGGCCAGTTTGTAAAAGGCCAGTTTGTGGAAGGCCTGTTTGTGGAAGGCCATTTTGTGAAAGGCCAGTTTGTGAAAGGCCAGTTTGTGGAAGGCCAGTTTGTGGAAGGCCAGTTTGTGGAGGGCCAGTTTGTGAAAGGCCATTTTGTGGAAGGCCAGTTTGTGGAAGGCCAGTTTGTGGAAGGCATTTTGTGGAAAGGCCAGGTTTTGTGAAAGGCCAGTTTGTGGAAGGGCCAGTTTGTGGAAGGCCAGTTTGTGGAAGGCCAGTTTGTGGAAGGCCATTTTGTGAAAGGCCAGTTTGTGGAAGGCCAGTTTGTGGAAGGCCAGTTTGTGAAAGGCCTGTTTGTGAAAGGCCAGTTTGTGAAAGGCCAGTTTGTAAAAGGCCAGTTTGTGGAAGGCCTGTTGTGGAAAGGCCAGTTTGTGAAAGGCCAGTTTTGTGAAAGGCCAGTTGTGGAGGCCGTTGTGGAAGGCCAGTTTGTGGAAGGCCAGTTTGTTGGAAGGCCAGTTTGTGGAAGGCCAGTTTGTGGAAGGCCATTTTGTGAAAGGCCAGTTTGTGAAAGGCCAGTTTGTGGAAGGCCAGTTTGTGGAAGGCCAGTTTGTGGAAGGCCAGTTTGTGGAAGGCCATTTTGTGAAAGGCCAGTTTGTGAAAGGCCAGTTTGTGGAAGGCCAGTTTGTGAAAGGCCAGTTTGTGGAAGGCCAGTTTGTGGAAGGTCAGTTTGTGGAAGGCCAGTTTGTGGAAGGCCAGTTTGTGGAAGGCCAGTTTGTGGAAGGCCAGTTTGTGAAAGGCCAGTTTGTGAAAGGCCAGTTTGTGGAAGGCCAGTTTGTGGAAGGTCCAAGTGTTGGTTTTGAAGGTCAAACAGAACCAGCATGATGGGATGCACTCGTAGAGAGAACCAAATATGTGAAGCACTTTTTCGTTAATTTATGATTTGCTGCATATAAGGAATAAAACTAAATCCTCTGTCGTACCATATTGAATTGTATCATTATTTTGCATCGTATCGCCCCGAATCGCATCGTATCGCCCCGAATCGCATCGTAATCGCATCGTAATCGCATCGTAATCGCATCGTAATCGCATCGTAATCGCATCGTAATCGCATCGTAATCGCATCGTATCGCATCGTATCGCCCCGAATCGCCCCGAATCGCCCCGAATCCCATCGGAATCGCCCCGAATCGCATCGTATCGCATCGTATCGCCCCGAATCGCATCGTATCGCCCCGAATCGCATCGTATCGCCCCGAATCGCATCGCCCCGAATCGCATCGGAATCGCATCGGAATCGCATCGTATCGCATCGCATCGTATCGCATCGTATCGGCCCGACTCGCATCGGAATTGCATCGGAATCGCATCGTATCGTATCGTATCGCATCGTATCGCCCCGAATCGCATCGGAATCGCATCGGAATCGCATCGCATCGTATCGCATCGTATCGCCCCGAATCGCATCGTATCGCATCGTATCGCCCCGAATCGCATCGGAATCGCATCGGAATCGCATCGGAATCGCATCGTATCGCATCGTATCGCCCCGAATCGCATCGTATCGCCCCGAATCGCATAATGTTGAATCAAACAGGGCTGAATCGTATCGCATCGCCCGGTGCTTCAAATGTATCGTTAATGTATCGTATTGTTGGCAACGTATCGAGATGCGCATCGCATCGGCCTCAGTGATGGAGATGCACATCCCTAGTACAGACCAGTACAGACCAGTACAGACCAGTACAGACCAATACAGACCAGTACAGACCAGTACAGACCAGTACAGACCAGTACAGACCAGTACAGACCAGTACAGACCAATACAGACCAGTACAGACCAGTACAGACCAATACAGACCAGTACAGACCAGTACAGACCAATACAGACCAGTACAGACCAGTACAGACCAGTACAGACCAGTACAGACCAGTACAGACCAATACAGACCAGTACAGACCAATACAGACCAGTACAGACCAATACAGACCAGTAACAGACCAGTACAGACCAGTACAGACCAATACAGACCAGTACAGACCAGTAACAGACCAATACAGACCAATACAGACAGTACAGTACCCAGTACAGACCAATACAGACCGTACAGACCAGTACAGACCAGTACAGACCAGCAGAAGGCTGAAGGTTGGTCTTGTTTTGTTTGATTAGGATGCCGAGTTCGGAGACCTTCAACTGAGGAAGAAGACCAAGAGTCTGTATGTACACACACACACACACACACACACACACACACACACACACACACACACACACACACACACACACACTAACATACTTCCTGTTGTCTTAGAGCTGCGGACGTCCGGGTCACCTGCTGTTTCTACGGCGATGGAAAAACCAGCACCTGTTTCCATGGCAATAGTTTGGAGGAAAGCTCTGAGGAACAACAGGTAGGAAAAACTGTGTTCTGAGGTGGACCGCCGGACCAGAAACCTGATGGTTCCTGCTGGTTCCTGGTGGTTCCTGCTGGTTCCTGCTGGTTCCTGTTGGTTCCTGCTGGTTCCTGATGGTTCCTGCTGGTTCCTGCTGGTTCCTGGTGGTTCCTGCTGGTTCCTGCTGGTTCCTGATGGTTCCTGCTGGTTCCTGCTGGTTCCTGCTGGTTCCTGCTGGTTCCTGGTGGTTCCTGGTGGTTCCTGCTGGTTCTTGCTGGTTCCTGCTGGTTCCTGATGGTTCCTGCTGGTTCTTACTGGTTCCTGATGGTTCCTGATGGTTCTTACTGGTTCTTGCTGGTTCCTGATGGTTCCTGATGGTTCTTACTGGCTCTTACTGGTTACTTCTGGTCCGAGTCTAAAGTAGCGTTGGTTCTGTTTTTCAGACCGTCTACACGGGAGGTCCTGAGGTGGGCCGAGAGTCTGGAGGCTCTGCTGACCAATCAGTGTAAGTTGCACCACTTCCTGTTTGTCTTTACTACCTGTTTGTCTCCGTCCGTCTCTATTGGCTGATCAGCCTTCTTGCTCTCTTCGTATTGGTCAGACGGTCTGGCTGTGTTCCGTCACTTCCTGAGGTCAGAGTTCAGTGAGGAGAACCTGGACTTCTGGTTGGCTGTCGAGAGGTTCAAGAGGACACGCCCCCTCAGCAAGATGGCCGCCAGGGCTGAGAAAATCTACCAGGAGTTCGTCAGCACGGCGGCAGCGAGACAGGTGAGACATCTACCTGTAGACAGAGACAGCAGACAGGTGAGACATCTACCTGTAGACAGAGATAGGAGACAGGTGAGACATCTACCTGTAGACAGAGACAGCAGACAGGTGAGACATCTACCTGTAGACAGAGATAGGAGACAGGTGAGACATCTACCTGTAGACAGAGACAGGAGACAGGTGAGACATCTACCTGTAGACAGAGACAGGAGACAGGTGAGACATCTACCTGTAGACAGAGACAGGAGACAGGTGAGACATCTACCTGTAGACAGAGACAGGAGACAGGTGAGACATCTACCTGTAGACAGAGACAGGAGACAGGTGAGACATCTACCTGTAGACAGAGACAGGAGACAGGTGAGACATCTACCTGTAGACAGAGATAGGAGACAGGTGAGACATCTACCTGTAGACAGAGACAGCAGACAGGTGAGACATCTACCTGTAGACGGAGACAGGTGAGACATCTACCTGTAGACAGAGATAGGAGACAGGTGAGACATCTACCTGTAGACAGAGACAGCAGACAGGTGAGACATCTACCTGTAGACAGAGACAGGTGAGACATCTACCTGTAGACAGAGTCAGCAGACAGGTGAGACATCTACCTGTAGACAGAGACAGGAGACAGGTGAGACATCTACCTGTAGACAGAGATAGGAGACAGGTGAGACATCTACCTGTAGACAGAGACAGCAGACAGGTGAGACATCTACCTGTAGACAGAGGAGACAGGTGAGACATCTACCTGTAGACAGAGACAGCAGACAGGTGAGACATCTACCTGTAGACAGAGACAGCAGACAGGTGAGACATCTACCTGTAGACAGAGATAGGAGACAGGTGAGACATCTACCTGTAGACAGAGACAGCAGACAGGTGAGACATCTACCTGTAGACAGAGATAGGAGACAGGTGAGACATCTACCTGTAGACAGAGATAGGAGACAGGTGAGACATCTACCTGTAGACAGAGACAGCAGACAGGTGAGACATCTACCTGTAGACAGAGATAGGAGACAGGTGAGACATCTACCTGTAGACAGAGATAGGAGGACAGGTGAGACATCTACCTGTAGACAGAGACAGGAGACAGGGTGAGACATCTACCTGTAGACAGAGACAGGAGACAGGTGAGACATCTACCTGTAGACAGAGACAGGAGACAGGTGAGACATCTACCTGTAGACAGAGACAGGAGACAGGTGAGACATCTACCTGTAGACAGAGATAGGAGACAGGTGAGACATCTACCTGTAGACAGAGACAGCAGACAGGTGAGACATCTACCTGTAGACAGAGATAGGAGACAGGTGAGACATCTACCTGTAGACAGAGATAGGAGACAGGTGAGACATCTACCTGTAGACGGAGACAGGTGAGACATCTACCTGTAGACAGAGACAGGAGACAGGTGAGACATCTACCTGTAGACAGAGATAGGAGACAGGTGAGACATCTACCTGTAGACAGAGACAGCAGACAGGTGAGACATCTACCTGTAGACAGAGACAGGTGAGACATCTACCTGTAGACAGAGACAGGAGACAGGTGAGACATCTACCTGTAGACAGAGACAGGAGACAGGTGAGACATCTACCTGTAGACAGAGACAGGAGACAGGTGAGACATCTACCTGTAGACAGGAGACAGGTGAGACATCTACCTGTAGACAGAGATAGGAGACAGGTGAGACATCTACCTGTAGACAGAGACAGCAGACAGGTGAGACATCTACCTGTAGACAGAGACAGGTGAGACATCTACCTGTAGACAGGAGACAGGTGAGACATCTACCTGTAGACAGAGTCAGCAAACAGGTGAGACATCTACCTGTAGACAGAGACAGGTGAGACATCTACCTGTAGACAGAGACAGGAGACAGGTGAGACATCTACCTGTAGACAGGAGACAGGTGAGACATCTACCTGTAGACAGAGATAGGAGACAGGTGAGACATCTACCTGTAGACAGGAGACAGGTGAGACATCTACCTGTAGACAGAGACAGGAGACAGGTGAGACATCTACCTGTAGACAGAGACAGAGACAGGTGAGACATCTACCTGTAGACAGAGATAGGAGACAGGTGAGACATCTACCTGTAGACAGAGACAGAGACAGGTGAGACATCTACCTGTAGACAGAGATAGGAGACAGGTGAGACATCTACCTGTAGACAGAGACAGGAGACAGGTGAGACATCTACCTGTAGACAGAGACAGGAGACAGGTGAGACATCTACCTGTAGACAGAGACAGGAGACAGGTGAGACATCTACCTGTAGACAGAGACAGGAGACAGGTGAGACATCTACCTGTAGACAGAGATAGGAGACAGGTGAGACTCTACCTGTAGACAGAGACAGGTGAGGACATCTACCTGTAGACAGAGACAGGTGAGACATCTACCTGTAGACAGAGACAGGTGAGACATCTACCTGTAGACAGAGACAGGTGAGACATCTACCTGTAGACAGAGATAGGAGACAGGTGAGACATCTACCTGTAGACAGAGACAGGAGACAGGTGAGACATCTACCTGTAGACAGGAGACAGGTGAGACATCTACCTGTAGACAGAGTCAGCAGACAGGTGAGACATCTACCTGTAGACAGAGACAGGAGACAGGTGAGACATCTACCTGTAGACAGGAGACAGGTGAGACATCTACCTGTAGACAGGAGACAGGTGAGACATCTACCTGTAGACAGAGATAGGAGACAGGTGAGACATCTACCTGTAGACAGAGACAGCAGACAGGTGAGACATCTACCTGTAGACAGAGACAGGTGAGACATCTACCTGTAGACAGAGTCAGCAGACAGGTGAGACATCTACCTGTAGACAGAGACAGCAGACAGGTGAGACATCTACCTGTAGACAGAGATAGGAGACAGGTGAGACATCTACCTGTAGACAGAGACAGGTGAGACATCTACCTGTAGACAGAGATAGGAGACAGGTGAGACATCTACCTGTAGACAGAGACAGGAGACAGGTGAGACATCTACCTGTAGACAGAGACAGGAGACAGGTGAGACATCTACCTGTAGACAGAGACAGGAGACAGGTGAGACATCTACCTGTAGACAGGAGACAGGTGAGACATCTACCTGTAGACAGAGATAGGAGACAGGTGAGACATCTACCTGTAGACAGAGACAGGTGAGACATCTACCTGTAGACAGGAGACAGGTGAGACATCTACCTGTAGACAGAGACAGGAGACAGGTGAGACATCTACCTGTAGACAGAGATAGGAGACAGTTGAGACATCTACCTGTAGACAGAGACAGGAGACAGGTGAGACATCTACCTGTAGACAGAGACAGGAGACAGGTGAGACATCTACCTGTAGACAGAGATAGGAGACAGGTGAGACATCTACCTGTAGACAGAGACAGGTGAGACATCTACCTGTAGACAGGAGACAGGTGAGACATCTACCTGTAGACAGAGATAGGAGACAGGTGAGACATCTACCTGTAGACAGAGACAGGAGACAGGTGAGACATCTACCTGTAGACAGAGATAGGAGACAGGTGAGACTCTACCTGTAGACAGAGACAGGTGAGACATCTACCTGTAGACAGAGACTGAGACAGGTGAGACATCTACCTGTAGACAGAGACAGGAGACAGGTGAGACATCTACCTGTAGACAGAGACAGGAGACAGGTGAGACATCTACCTGTAGACAGAGACAGGTGAGACATCTACCTGTAGACAGAGACAGGAGACAGGTGAGACATCTACCTGTAGACAGAGACAGGTGAGACATCTACCTGTAGACAGAGACAGGAGACAGGTGAGACATCTACCTGTAGACAGGAGACAGGTGAGACATCTACCTGTAGACAGAGATAGGAGACAGGTGAGACATCTACCTGTAGACAGAGACAGGTGAGACATCTACCTGTAGACAGAGATAGGAGACAGGTGAGACATCTACCTGTAGACAGAGACAGGAGACAGGTGAGACATCTACCTGTAGACAGAGATAGGAGAAACAGTTGAGACATCTACCTGTAGACAGAGACAGGAGACAGGTGAGACATCTACCTGTAGACAGAGACAGGAAGACAGGTGAGACATCTACCTGTAGACAGAGATAGAGACAGGTGAGACATCTACCTGTAGACAGAGACAGGTGAGACATCTACCTGTAGACCAGGAGACAGGTGAGACATCTACCTGTAACAGAGATAGGAGACAGGTGAGACATCTACCTGTAGACAGAGATAGGAGACAGGTGAGAACATCTACCTGTAGACAGAGACAAGGAGACAGGTGAGACATCTACCTGTAGACAGGAGACAGGTGAGACATCTACCTGTAGACAGAGATAGGAGACAGGTGAGACATCTACCTGTAGACAGAGATAGGAGACAGGTGAGACATCTACCTGTAGACAGAGACAGGTGAGACATCTACCTGTAGACAGAGACAGGAGACAGGTGAGACATCTACCTGTAGACAGAGACAGGAGACAGGTGAGACATCTACCTGTAGACAGAGACAGGAGACAGGTGAGACATCTACCTGTAGACAGAAACACGAGACAGGTGAGACATCTGATTGGTCCTCCGATTGGTCCTGTTAGCTGTCCTCTGATTGGTCCTGTGATCTGTCCTCTGATTGGTCATGTGACCCTCTGCTGTCTATCTCCAGGTCAACGTGGACTCGTCTGTCAGAGAATCGACCAATCAGGGCCTGCGTCTGGGCGCTAACCCCGCCTCCTTCCAGCAGGCCCAGGCCCAGGTCTTCGGCCTGATGGAGGGCGACAGCTACCCACGCTTCCTGAGGTCCCGCCTCTACGCCCAGCTGGCCAATCAGGGCGCACAGACAGAGTCGTCCAATCAGAGTGGAGGTGTACCTTTAGACCAATTATAAGCGAGGAGAGCTGCCCGACATCTGATTGGCTGTCCATCAGCTCCAAGAGCCGACCAATGAAACTATAGTTGCATTATGGGAAATGTAGGAGCAGTGTTTTAAATTATAGTTGCATTATGGGAAATGTAGGGGCAGTGTTTTAAATGATAGTTGCATTATGGGAAATGTAGGAGCAGTGTTTTAAATGATAGTTGCATTATGGGAAATGTAGGAGCAGTGTTTTTAGACTAAAGTCAGAAAATCTCCAAATCATTTTTGAATAGACTTTTTTATTAATAATTCTTAAGAGTTCTCTAGTTTTACTGAATCACATTTTATTTCCATTCTTTAATATTTCCATCAGTCATCATGTCCGCTCAGTCTGAAGAATATATAGTAAATATTACATATATATATATTATATAATACTTCTAATCCCCCTCTAAAGACTCTGAGTGTGTCCTGAGCTAATGTTAGCATGCTAACACCATTACGTGTGCTATGCTGTTAGCATTTAGCTCCTGCAGAGAGTTCAGTTTATCTCTGAGGAGAAAGACAGCAGCATCTCCTGTCGGGGTACATCAATATATATATATATACATATACACATACATGCAGTATGTGTCTGAAGAAGGTGAACCTCCTGGTCTGTGTTCAGGCTGAAAGATTGAAGTGTATCAGAAGTTAGAGGACATGTACTTCCTGTGTTTATTGTTTTCCTCACATGTTGGACTGTTTACAGACTTCAGTGTTTTTTAGGAGACATTAAAGTATATAATAACCAGACTCCTGCTTTCACCTCATATATTCATATTTAACCAGTTACAGCACATAACCCGGGCGGTGGTGGCGAAGTCCATAGGGACTTGGCTTGGCCACTGGAAGGTCACCAGTTCAAGTCCCGGAAAGACCAAGTGCTACCGAGGTGTCCCTGAGCAAGGCAGCGTTCATAACGGCAGCACACTGCTCCTAACACGAGGATGGGTCACATGCAGAGGAACCGTCTCGTTACATAGAACCTGTACTACGTAATGACAATAAGTTGAGTCTTCTTCTTCTTCAATAAGGAGTCAGTGCTTCAGTGTTTACTCAATAAGTACCTTTACTAAATGTATTACACTTTGCAGACGATGAGTTTGGTCAAAGGAATACATGACGGGGGGTTTAACCCTATACCAGCTGCAGCAGTAAAGTGCAGTAAATAATATGAAATACACATAATTAAATAAATATAATTAAACTGCGTGTTTTTTAACAATATAATTACTACTTTGACTGAAGTAATAAATACTGATGAATGATTTATACTGAGTGATGTGAAGCTTTGTTATAAAGTAAAACACATATCTTTATTATTGAATAAAGAAACTCATACATGAATAAACATGAGGTAAACCAGGTGGACGTCAAATATAATAATAACATATAATATTATTATATTTTATATCCTGTCTGTAATCACCTAACACACAGACCCACAATGCACCTCTGCATCACAATGAACATGTGTGAACAGACCAGCAGGGGGCGCTGTGGGTGGAGAAACACTCACATCTGGCACTTTAGTAGAAGTAGTCATTGTGCAGATGATATCATATAATATATAATAATATACAATATATTATAATACAAATATATATAATATTAAGCTCTTTGAGCCATCTACCTCTGAACTGTAGGAGAAGTATACAGTAGCATAAGATGGAAATACTAAAGTAAAGTACAAGTACCTCTAAGTGTACTTCAGTACTGAGACCGACCCACAGCCAGTGGAGTTTAGTAACTGGTAAAGAAGGAGGTCTGGACGGTGGCAGGGAGGAGGCTTTATTAACAAATACAGATGCATTGTGGGGGATCTACCCGGCCAGGACGTGCTTGACGAACTCGGTGTAATTGATGTGTCCGTTGGCGTCCTCCTGGCCCACCATCAGCCGGTCCACCTCGTGCTCCGTCATCTTCTCGCCCAGCGTGGCCAGGACGTGCCTCAGCTCGGCGCCCATCACCGTGCCGTTGCCCTCCTTGTCGAAGACCCTCAGCCCCTCCACGAAGTCCTCGAAGGCGCCCGTCTCCTTGGAGCGCGCCACGTGCTGCAGCATGGGCAGGAAGCGGTCGAAGTCCAGCAGCTGGGTGTGCATCTCCTCAGGCTTGGGCCGGCCCAGCAGCTTCAGAACCTCCTGGTTGGTGGGGTTGTGTCCCAGGGCCCGCAGCACGTCTCCGCACTGAGCGAAGCTGATCTTCATCTCGCCTGCCGGCGTCTCGTCGAACAGCGTGAAGGCGTCCCTGAACTCCTCCACCTGCTCTGGGCTGAAGTCCAGCACGATGCTGGCCAGGTCCACCTCGGGGGCTTTGGGCTCCGGAGGTGGGGGGGGCGCCTCCTCCTTCACCTCGTCCTTCTTCACCTCCGGCTTCTTCACCTCCGGCTTCTTCGCCTCCACCTTCTTCGGAGCCATGCTGTGCTGAGGACGGTCGACCGGGCGCCTTTATACCGTCCAAACCGGGGGGGGGTCAGACCAGGGGGGGGGGCAGACCAGGGGATGGGGGGGGGGGGGCAGAGTTGCCGATAAGGAGCCGGAGCAGCAGCTATCTTTAGCCGCCGCAGCGCTACCAGAAAAGGACAAAGACACAGGCAGGAATTGTGTGTGTGTGTGTGTGTGTGTGTGTGTGTGTGTGTGTGTGTGTGTCTCTGTGTGTGTGTGTGTGTGTGTGTGTGTGTGTGTGTGTTGATGACCTGGAGACTCTTTATTTTAAATGTTTGTTTTTTATTCAGCTAACTCCACGTGACACAGAGACACCGACAAACTTTCTAAACAAAACAAACAGATTAAATATGATATACAGATACTCCAGGTCTGCAGCTGGAGCCCTAAACCCCCCCCCCCCCCCCCCCCCCCCCGCTCCTTCAGACTGAGATAATACACTCTTTATCTTCTGTGTGTTTCTATTCCCGGCTCTGCATCTGCTGATAACACGTTACCCACAATGCACCGGGCCCCTCAGGCTGATAACACCTTACCCACAATGCACCACTGCTCAGGCCTCATGCAGAGGGGAGACAGAGGACAGAAGTGCAGCTCCACATCCCAGTCAGATACTACTATATTGTAAACATCACAGTAACTGTACTACAGTCAGATACTACCATATTATAAACATCACAGTAACTGTACTACAGTCAGATACTACCATATTGTAAACATCACAGTAACTGTACTACAGTCAGATACTACCATATTATAAACATCACAGTAACTGTACTACAGTCAGATACTACCATATTGTAAACATCACAGTAACTGTACTACAGTCAGATACTACCATATTGTAAACATCACACTAACTGTACTACAGTCAGATACTACCATATTGTAAACATCACAATAACTGTATTACAGTCAGATACTACCATATTGTAAACATCACAGTAACTGTACTACAGTCAGATACTACCATATTGTAAACATCACAGTAACTGTACTACAGTCAGATACTACCATATTATAAACATCACAGTAACTGTACTACAGTCAGATACTACCATATTGTAAACATCACAGTAACTGTACTACAGTCAGATACTACCATATTGTAAACATCACACTAACTGTACTACAGTCAGATACTACCATATTGTAAACATCACAATAACTGTATTACAGTCAGATACTACCATATTGTAAACATCACAGTAACTGTACTACAGTCAGATACTACCATATTGTAAACATCACACTAACTGTACTACAGTCAGATACTACCATATTGTAAACATCACACTAACTGTACTACAGTCAGATACTACCATATTGTAAACATCACAGTAACTGTACTACAGTCAGATACTACCATATTGTAAACATCACACTAACTGTATTACAGTCAGATACTACAGTATTGTAAACATCACAATAACTGTACTACAGTCAGACACTACTATATTATAAACATCACAATAACTGTACTACAGTCAGATACTACTGTATTGTAAACATCACAGTAACTGTACTACAGTCAGATACTACAGTATTATAAACATCACAATAACTGTACTACAGTCAGATACTACTATATTGTAAACATCACAGTAACTGTACTACAGTCAGATACTACAGTATTATAAACATCACAATAACTGTACTACAGTCAGATACTACTATATTATAAACATCACAGTAACTGTACTACAGTCAGATACTACAGTATTATAAACATCACAATAACTGTACTACAGTCAGATACTACCATATTGTAAACATCACAGTAACTGTACTACAGTCAGATACTACAGTATTATAAACATCACAATAACTGTACTACAGTCAGATACTACTATATTGTAAACATCACAGTAACTGTACTACAGTCAGATACTACAGTATTATAAACATCACAATAACTGTACTACAGTCAGATACTACTATATTATAAACATCACAGTAACTGTACTACAGTCAGATACTACAGTATTATAAACATCACAGTAACTGTACTACAGTCAGATACTACTATATTATAAACATCACAATAACTGTACTACAGTCAGATACTACTATATTGTAAACATCACAATAACTGTACTACAGTCAGATACTACTATATTATAAACATCACACTAACTGTACTACAGTCAGATACTACTGTATTGTAAACATCACAGTAACTGTACTACAGTCAGATACTACTATATTATAAACATCACAGTAACTGTACTACAGTCAGATACTACAGTATTATAAACATCACAGTAACTGTACTACAGTCAGATACTACTATATTATAAACATCACAATAACTGTACTACAGTCAGATACTACTATATTGTAAACATCACAATAACTGTACTACAGTCAGATACTACTATATTATAAACATCACACTAACTGTACTACAGTCAGATACTACCATATTGTAAACATCACAATAACTGTACTACAGTCAGATACTACTATATTATAAACATCACAATAACTGTACTACAGTCAGATACTACTATATTGTAAACATCACACTAACTGTACTACAGTCAGATACTACTATATTATAAACATCACACTAACTGTACTACAGTCAGATACTACCATATTGTAAACATCACAATAACTGTACTACAGTCAGATACTACTATATTATAAACATCACACTAACTGTACTACAGTCAGATACTACAGTATTATAAACAACACAGTAACTGTACTACAGTCAGATACTACTATATTGTAAACATCACAATAACTGTACTACAGTCAGATACTACTATATTATAAACATCACACTAACTGTACTACAGTCAGATACTACCATATTGTAAACATCACAATAACTGTACTACAGTCAGATACTACTATATTATAAACATCACACTAACTGTACTACAGTCAGATACTACCATATTGTAAACATCACACTAACTGTACTACAGTCAGATACTACCATATTGTAAACATCACAATAACTGTACTACAGTCAGATACTACTATATTATAAACATCACACTAACTGTACTACATTCAGATACTACAGTATTATAAACATCACAGTAACTGTACTACAGTCAGACACTACTATATTATAAACATCACACCAACTGTACTACAGTCAGATACTACAGTATTATAAACATCACACTAACTGTACTACAGTCAGATACTACTAGTATTATAAACATCACACTAACTGTACTACAGTCAGATACTACTATATTATAAACATCACACTAACTGTACTACAGTCAGATACTACTATATTATAAACATCACACTAACTGTACTACAGTCAGATACTACAGTATTATAAACATCACAATAACTGTACTACAGTCAGATACTACAGTATTATAAACATCACAGTAACTGTACTACAGTCAGATACTACAGTATTATAAACATCACACTAACTGTACTACAGTCAGATACTACAGTATTATAAACATCACACTAACTGTACTACAGTCAGATACCTATATATTGTAAACATCACACTAACTGTACTACAGTCAGATACTACTATATTATAAAACATCACAATACTGTACTACAGTCAGATACTACAGTATTATAAACATCACAGTAACTGTACTACAGTCAGATACTACTATATTGTAAACATCACAATAACTGTACTACAGTCAGATACTACTATATTATAAATATCACACTAACTGTACTACAGTCAGATACTACTATATTGTAAACATCACACTAACTGTACTACAGTCAGATACTACAGTATTATAAACATCACAGTAACTGTACTACAGTCAGATACTACTATATTGTAAACATCACAATAACTGTACTACAGTCAGATACTACTATATTATAAATATCACACTAACTGTACTACAGTCAGATACTACTATATTGTAAACATCACACTAACTGTACTACAGTCAGATACTACTATATTGTAAACATCACACTAACTGTACTACAGTCAGATACTACTCTTCCATCACATGGTTAACATCATCCATTGTCTGTCATTGCTCCAAGGATCTCATGTGAGGGCGGGCCGCACTGATGCATGCTGGGAAATCAGAAGGATCTGAAGAACAGCAAAAGAATGTTTCAGGAAGTTTATTTAAAGTAATACAAAGTAGTATAAATTAGTATAAAGTAGTATAAAGCATTCGAAGGTAGTATACAAATAGTATAAGGTATTACTACAGTAATGAGAGATGAGACCTGAGGAGTCCTTCAGCAGCTTCTCTCTGACCGCTGCACTCAGATCAGAAAACACCGCCTCCTCCAGCCTGTCTGCATCCACCTGCACACACACACACACGCACACATACGCACACACACGCACGCATGCACACACACACACACACACACACACACACACACACCACACACACACACACACACAGACACACCACACACACACACACACACACACACACACACACACACACACACACACACACACACACCACACACACACACACACACACACACACACACACTCAGGTGTATCAGAGGCCTGCACTATGAAGCAGGATGTTCTCTTAGCTAACTTCAGGGTAAACTCTGGGTTTCCGGTCCTACGACGCTGGTTCTCTTCTTAGCTGACTAGATCTCCATGGTAACTTATGCTGAGCGCAGTGGCGTTTTTATATGTACAAAAGTGGTGGGGCACAAAAAACGTAGATGTCTATAAGCTTCTGCAGTGACGTGTAGTGAGGGTCATGGCTGCTGAGGCACTGGCACTGACTCTTCAGGTTTACAAATATTATATTTTGACCTAAACCAAAATATAATATTATTTTCAAAAGCTTTTTTTGTCTGATGCTTCGATTAATTTTAAACAGACAGTTCAACAAAAGCATACCCAAAAAATGTAATTTTATCATTTAAATATTGAATTGTTCTCTCTTAGTAAGATCCCATTTTCAATAAAATGGCGGTCTTACCTTGACTTGAAGATGAAGTCCATTTGCCTATCCTTCTGGACAAACATCTCTCTAACTTTTTTGTAAAAGTCCTCCTTATCTTCTTGTAGTTTCAAAAGTCTATCATAAATCTAATCCATAGATTTATGATAAAAAATTATAAAAGTAGGGTAGACATGTGGATATTATCCGGCTGAACAAAACGTGCATTTATCTAACAGGTACGTTTCCCACAGATCTTATTTCGAGCTATTTTCTAAAACCCTATGGAGAAACCTCATTGCTTTTTTGTCGAGGGAAGCTATGCGCAGCTTACTTCCTGGTTTTAGGACGCGTCACTGCAGCTCTCTCGTCTCCTCTTCACACACCACACTTTTCGCGGCACACGTACTTACAGCCAATCAGCTCTGAATGATGTGAGATGACGTATGGTGGGGATGGCAGCTCAGTGCCCCTATGGTATTTTTTTTTTTTGCCACACACATTACATTGAAAAATACTCTGAGCATGCGCAGTGAAGTTTTTACAGTCACCGTTCACTTAGACAGTGAGAGGGAGGGGCATGATCAGGTTTTGTCCCACATGGCTCAAAACGGCACTGTAGACACTAATGAGAAGAACACAGACTAAAACAGCAATGCACAGACGAATCAGATGATTAAACATGACCTTAAAATATATTTTATATCTTTTTTTATTTCTTTTTTTGCATCTCTTTACTATTTTTTGTAATCATTATGTGTAATACTTTCTGCTGACACTAGGTGGGGCTGTGCCCCACCTGCCCCTAATGACCAGTCGCCACTGGCTGAGCGGCTAACCTGGTCCGGAGCAGGTTAGGTTGCAGGCTAAGAGATCAACTCAGTGAAAGCACCGCCTGCTGACCAATCAGAGCTCCGTGTGCGGAGTTTAAAGATATCAAGTCATATTACAGGATAGAGGAAATACAGAAAAACTGCCGTTGCAGGAAAGACGGCCGGCAAAAATCACCTGACTGTGTGAACGTGAACATTAATAGAATATCTCCTCCCATCTTCAGAGCAATCTGACTATTATAACATTAGCGTTAAGAAAGCTTACTTAAATATCTGCCACAACATAAGTAACCGGATCAGAGTAACATTAAGTACAGTCCGCGGCACTGTGAGTGCAGACGGCGATGTGTCCCATTATCATTCATATCATATCACATCATAATGTATCATATATCTCCTTATCTGAGTCAGCTGAGCCGTATCTGGCCGTGCAACACTCACAGTGTCACATACTGTATGCAGAAGTATTATTTTAAGCAACACATTAAGTTGACGAAACACTGGAGTCAAATGTAATTAAAGTCAGATCGTGTCTTAGACGGGGCAGTGATATCATAAACCTGTTAATGTACGCATTCAAACACTTTCTCTGTTACCAGCTGTATTCACCTTGCAGGTGCAGCTATGTGGCTTTGATCCTGGATAAAGTGTTTAAGTCATGGATGTTTAAAGTTTCACTTCTTCATATTTGACTAATATTAAAGTTCACTTTTCATTCAGGAAGTATGACGCTGCGCTGTCAGTATGCTTGTCCGTGTTTGTGATTGGTCGAATGCTCCAAATACCACCCCTTTCATGTGAACGCGCACCTAACTAGATAGGACACGGCTGGCTTGAGCGATCCACTTGATAACCAGCGTCGTAGTACAGTTTAGCGAGAGCGCGTATGTTTTGGATTGGGCCAACCGGCTAACTCAAACATATCCAGGTTATGTTGAACCGGCTTCGTAGTACAGGCCTCTGCTGTACCTTTGTCAGCGGGTGTAGCAGGTGTAGCAGGTGTAGCAGGTGTAGCAGGTGTACATATGTCAGCAGGTGTAGCAGGTGTAGCAGGTGTAGCAGGTGTACATATGTCAGCAGGTGTAGCAGGTGTACATATGTCAGCAGGTGTAGCAGGTGTAGCAGGTGTACATATGTCAGCAGGTGTAGCAGGTGTAGCAGGTGTAGCAGGTGTAGCAGGTGTAGCAGGTGTACATATGTCAGCAGGTGTAGCAGGTGTACATATGTCAGCAGGTGTAGCGGGTGTAGCAGGTGTACATATGTCAGCAGGTGTAGCAGGTGTAGCAGGTGTAGCAGGTATAGCGGGTGTACCTGTGTCAGCAGGTGTAGCAGGTGTAGCAGGTGTAGCAGGTGTACATATGTCAGCAGGTGTAGCAGGTGTAGCAGGTGTAGCAGGTGTAGCAGGTGTACATATGTCAGCAGGTGTAGCAGGTGTACATATGTCAGCAGGTGTAGCAGGTGTAGCAGGTGTACATATGTCAGCAGGTGTAGCAGGTGTAGCAGGTGTAGCAGGTGTACATATGTCAGCAGGTGTAGCAGGTGTAGCAGGTGTAGCAGGTATAGCGGGTGTACCTGTGTCAGCAGGTGTAGCAGGTGTAGCAGGTGTACATATGTCAGCAGGTGTAGCAGGTGTAGCAGGTGTAGCAGGTGTAGCAGGTGTACATATGTCAGCAGGTGTAGCAGGTGTACATATGTCAGCAGGTGTAGCAGGTGTAGCAGTGTACATATGTCAGCAGGTGTAGCAGGTGTAGCAGGTGTAGCAGGTGTACATATGTCAGCAGGTGTAGCAGGTGTAGCAGGTGTAGCAGGTGTAGCAGGTGTAGCAGGTATAGCAGGTATAGCGGGTGTACCTGTGTCAGCAGGTGTAGCAGGTGTAGCAGGTGTACATATGTCAGCAGGTGTAGCAGGTGTAGCAGGTGTAGCAGGTGTACATATGTCAGCAGGTGTAGCAGGTGTAGCAGGTGTACATATGTCAGCAGGTGTAGCAGGTGTACATATGTCAGCAGGTGTAGCAGGTGTAGCAGGTGTACATATGTCAGCAGGTGTAGCAGGTATAGCAGGTGTACATATGTCAGCAGGTGTAGCAGGTGTAGCAGGTGTACATATGTCAGCAGGTGTAGCAGGTGTAGCAGGTGTAGCAGGTGTACATATGTCAGCAGGTGTAGCAGGTGTACATATGTCAGCAGGAGTAGCAGGTGTAGCAGGTGTAGCAGGTGTAGCAGGTATAGCGGGTGTACCTGTGTCAGCAGGTGTAGCTGGTTGTAGTATCTGCTGACGGAGGTGATGTCTCTGTGGAAGGAGTCCAGGCGTCTCCTCAGGGCGGTGCTGTTATCTCCCAGAAGGCCGAGCTGCACGGCTCGTTGCTGCAGACGGCAGTGGAGTGTCTGATTGGAGCAGAGCAGCAGCAGCACCAGGTCAGGAGAGCCAATCTGAAACAGAATCTGCTCTGTGACCCAGAACTCCAGAACTCAACCTCAGGACCAAGAACAGGACACACTGCAACAGGACCAAGAACAGGACACACTGCAACAGGACCAAGAACAGGACAAACTGCAACAGGACCAAGAACAGGACAAACTGCAGTAGGACCAAGACGAGGACAAACTGCAACAGGACCAAGAACAGGACACACTGCAGTAGGACCAAGACGAGGACAAACTGCAACAGGACCAAGAACAGGACAAACTGCAGTAGGACCAAGACGAGGACAAACTGCAACAGGACCAAGACGAGGACACACTGCAACAGGACCAAGAACAGGACAAACTGCAGTAGGACCAAGACGAGGACACACTGCAACAGGACCAAGACGAGGACACACTGCAGTAGGACCAAGAACAGGACAAACTGCAACAGGACCAAGAACAGGACAAACTGCAGTAGGACCAAGACGAGGACAAACTGCAACAGGACCAAGAACAGGACACACTGCAGTAGGACCAAGACGAGGACACACTGCAACAGGACCAAGAACAGGACACACTGCAACAGGACCAAGACGAGGACAAACTGTAGTAGGACCAAGACGAGGACAAACTGCAGTAGAACCAAGACGAGGACACACTGCAGTAGGACCAAGACGAGGACACACTGCAACAGGACCAAGAACAGGACACACTGCAACAGGACCAAGAACAGGACACACTGCAGTAGGACCAAGACGAGGACACACTGCAACAGGACCAAGACGAGGACACACTGCAGTAGGACCAAGACGAGGACACACTGCAGTAGGACCAAGACGAGGACACACTGCAGTAGGACCAAGACGAGGACACACTGCAGTAGGACCAAGACGAGGACACACTGCAGTAGGACCAAGACGAGGACAAACTGCAGTAGGACCAAGACGAGGACAAACTGTAGTAGGACCAAGACGAGGACACACTGCAGCAGGACCAAGACGAGGACACACTGCAGTAGGACCAAGACGAGGACACACTGCAGTAGGACCAAGACGAGGACACACTGCAACAGGACCAAGACGAGGACACACTGCAGTAGGACTGATCAGTTCACTGACAGGTTTCATTCAGGGATACAGCTGTCTGATCGGTACAAACTGCAGCAAGCTCTCTGATTAGTCGATACCTGCTCCTGGAAGCTGAGGGCCTGGTGGACGTCTCTTGGGAATCCATCCACGATGAACCCTCTGACCTCGGACTGACCAATCATCTGGCGCCTCAGTTCTGAGATGGTATCCTCCTGCGGACAAATAGAGCGTCCACCAGTTCACACCAGAACGAGACATTCAGGAAATAAGAAGAAGTATGGTGCCGCTCAGACGCAGGTGGTCTGGGTTTCAGTCAGGAGAGGGTTTGCTGAGGTGGTCTGGGTTTCAGTCAGGAGGAGGGTTTGCTGAGGTGGTCTGGGTTTCAGTCAGGAGGAGGGTTTGCTGAGGTGGTCTGGGTTTCAGTCAGGAGAGGGTTTGCTGAGGTGGTCTGGGTTTCAGTCAGGAGGAGGGTTTGCTGAGGTGGTCTGGGTTTCAGTCAGGAGGAGGGTTTGCTGAGGTGGTCTGGGTTTCAGTCAGTAGGAGGGTTTGCTGAGGTGGTCTGGGTTTCAGTGAGGAGAGGATTTGCTGAGATGGTCTGGGTTTCAGTCAGACCTGCAGGCCCAGTTCTCCGTGGCCCATCATCTCTGATATCACCTCCCACTTCCTGCCGGGGGAGGCGTGGCTCAGCAGCTGCCTCCTCAGCAGCTCGTCCAATGAGAGGACTCTGAATCTGAAGCGCTGAGCGAGCCTCGCCGCCTGGCTTCCCTTCCCGCTTCCTGGACCGCCTGGTGGGAAGAAAAGATCATACAGTATGACACCCTCACAACACGTCACCCCCCACCTGTCACATCCTACTGTCTGATAACCGCATAAAACACCCAGAAAAGAGAAGGAGGAAGAGCACCTGAAGGGGAAGGTGACCCTGGGGTCAGGGGTCAGGGGCTCATCCTGTAGAGGATTACAGCCTCGCAAAACAAGGAGAACCCAGAGGACTTGGACTGATGTCGGACACTGAAGGTCTATTGGAAGTCACAGCCGGAGAATTGACAAAGACTTATTGTGCCAAGACGAAGAGACATAGCTCCTGCCCAACCAACCTGAAGACCCCTCACCCAGGCCCAACCAACCTGAAGACCCCTCACCCAGTCCCAACCAACCTGAAGACCCCTCACCCAGTCCCAACCAACCTGAAGACCCCTCACCCAGGCCCAACCAACCTGAAGACCCCTCACCCAGTCCCAACCAACCTGAAGACCCCTCACCCAGTCCCAACCAACCTGAAGACCCCTCACCCAGTCCCAAGTATTTATCAGGATAAGACCAGAGCACCATAACTCTGTCCCTAGCAAAGAATACATGCCCAATAAGATGGACTAGCAGAGGCCCCCAGAGCCAAACATCCGGTATAGACCGATGCCCTCAGGCAGGAATATTTATAATAATAGATGACATTTGTATCGCGCCTTGCAAGGGACCCAAGGCCGCTTTACATGGTGAACAAACAAACAAAAGGGGCAAATAATAAGTACAAATGAAATAAATAGCAGTAGGAATGGAAGCAGAGGGCTGTGATGGGTTAGGGGTCAAAGGCCATGGTGAACAGGTGAGTTTTTAATGATGATCTCTGCAGGAAGAGGGTCCAGATGGTGGGGGGGGGGGGGACACTGAACGCCCTGTAAGGAGGCAGAACTAGGACTGGGACTGGGCTCATATCGGGGGAGTCCGGAGTGAAGAACTGGGTCAAAGGTCGTGGTAAATATTCTCCTCAACAACCATAACTCTTGATTAACCTTCATCTTTAACTCCAGGTTGGACCCTTCAGAGCATTTCCTCTCAGGTTCTGTTTGTTGTTCCAGAACCATGTGATGCTAACTACCTGAAGCCCACCTGTTTCCCCCCGGTGTCTCTTACCGATGATGAAGACGATGAGGGGTGGCATGCTCACTTCCTGCAGGAGTCCAACACTCTCCGTCATGTCCGAGTCCGAGTCTATGGAGAGCCGAGAGCGGACCAGAGGAGGGACTGGGAGGGGTTCAGGAGCTGTTTTGGGTCCTGGTGGGGTTTCACTTCTGCCTGAAAACACCTGGGGGGGCAGGACAGGTGGGACAGAGGCTCTGAGGTTCATGGAGGGGCAGCCTTTAGCTGATGGGGCTCCTGTGGACGTCAGAGATATTAACAGAGGGGAAGGAGGGCACCTTTGGGGCATCAGGGGTTTTACCTGAGGTACAGGTGTTGTTTGGGGCATCAGGGGTTTTACCTGAGGTACAGGTGTTGTTTGGGGCATCAGGGGTTTTACCTGAGGTACAGGTGTTGTTTGGGGTATGGGGGGTTTTACCTGAGGTACAGGTGTTGTTTGGGGTATGGGGGGTTTTACCTGAGGTACAGGTGTTGTTTGGGGTATGGGGGGTTTTACCTGAGGTACAGGTGTTGTTTGGGGTATGGGGGGTTTTACCTGATGTACAGGTGTTGTTTGGGGTATGGGGGGTTTTCCTTGGGGAACAGGTGTTGTTTGGGGTATGGGGGGGGTTTATTGGACGTGCAGGTGGGGTTATGGTGGTTCTGGGGGGTATAGATGCTGTTTTTAGGGGTGTTGATGTGGTTTCTGGGGGTCCGGGGCCCAGCAGGTGGATAAAGGTGTCCCAGGTGACGGCCCCGGCCCCCCCCAGCTCAGTGGTTCTGGTCAGGCAGCGCTTCAGGAAGCTGACGGGGTCTTCGGGTCGGTTGTACAGCAGACCCGTCAGCAGACTCTGAAACACACACACAGTATTTTATAGTGTCTCTGTTTCTCTGCCCCCCCCCCCCAGGTCATATTAACACGCCACCTGAGTCGGCCATATTTAGAGCAACAGCTGCTCACGCTGTCCACTGCCATCTCGTTAAGAGCTGTTACCATGGAAACACCACAACAAACCTCAGAGTCTGAGCATCCTCCGTCTAACAGGCTAGCACAGTCAGTGTTTGATACCCTCCTCATCCTCCGTCTGACGCTAACATGCTAACATGCTAACAGGCTAACACAGTGTTTGATACCCTCC